AATGATTTGAAAACGCTTTACACTGGATGTTTTCCGCCAGGCACATTCATCCTTTTGCAAGTCGGAAAAAACGCACAACTGCAATGAAGCGATGATGGCAAATGCTCCCCATCGGCCCCAAACTTCCTGGGTGGTTGTGGGAGGAGGGGCTCTGTTGTTTCAGGCAGAACTCAACACGTAAGTGCAAATGTCTGCCTCTGAAAATACCTTTCTGGAAAGATGTCCAACCCCAGGGTGCTCTTTTGTTGAAGGAGAATTAGATCAATAGATCTTCTTGTCTAAAATGTTTTCAAGCAGGCCGAGCGTAGTGGCTCAAGCCTGTAATCCCAGTACTTTGGGAGCCTGAGGTTCGAGAACAGCCCGGGCAACTCAGCGAGACTTTCATCTCTACAATAAATCAAAAAATTAGCCAGGCGTGGTAGCACGTGCCTATAGTTCCAGCTACTTGGAAGGCTGAGGCAGAAGGATTGCCTGAACCTAGCAGGTTGACGCTGGGGTGGCCGTGAGCATGCTACTTACTGCACTCCAGCCTGGGCGACAGAGTGAGACTCCAACTCAAAAAAAAAAAAAAGTTTTTAAGCAAAAAGTAAAAATAAACTGACTTTCCCTGCCCCCGCCTAGGGACGGGTTTCCTGCCCTATGGCTTTGGTCAATGGGGAGCCCAACAGGAGGCCGAAGGGAGGGAGGAGAGAGATATCAGGAGGGCCCCCGGGCTGTCTGTGTCTCTCTTAAATGGCTTTTGGCCATGACTCAATGAACTACAGGTGTGTGCTACCACACCCCGCTAATTTTTTAATTTATTGTAGAGACAAAGTCTCGCCAAGTTGCCCCGGCTGGTCTCGAACCCACAAGCTCAGGCAATCCACTCGCCTCAGCCTCCCAAAGTGCTGGGATTATAGGCTGAGCCATTGAGCCTGCCTATGACCCAATCTTTCTGGGTTCCATTCTGCCCTTACCCTGGCTCCCCTAGAACTAAGGGCCACCCCAACTTTGCTGGCACTGCTGCCAGTCATGGGTCCTGCAACACCCCTCACAATGCCCACCCAGCCCAGCCCTTTGCAAACAAACCCTCCCGGGCCCATCCTGTCTGAGTGCTCCATCTGTTTCCTGTGGGGACTGTGACCAATAAACCAGCCTGGTAGGCTCCAAGGCTCTGCACGCTGGCGGACCTAGGAAGGGTCTCCAAAGATTTTCCCCATAGGACACATGTGCATTCAGTGCAGGAGGCCACTTTGTCAGGGGGCGCCTGGGATGTCGAGTTCGGAACTGAAATACAGGCAGGCCACGTGTGAGGGACACGAGCACTTGAGAGGAAGGAGCGTGAAGGGGGATGGGAGGGGGCAGGGCGACCCTCCCACCAATGCTTCTGCCCTCACTAGACTTATATGCAGGACTTTCCAAATACATTTTCTCCTCTTTTAATTTTTTTATTTTAAAGATGTGGGGTACAATTCTGGGTTAGGTATACAAATGTTCATTATGCAGGTACCCTTGTTGATGAGGTGTGCCCCCTTCCCCTTCAAATAAATTTTTAAAAATAATTCCCAAAAAACAAAAACAAGTGAGGTGGGCACAGCAGGTGGTGTGTACTCAGGAAAAGAAGTGGCCCTGGGTTGAGCTGTCCCTCTCCGTCAGTACAGGCAGGTGAGAAAGGGTCCCCTCTGCCATGTCACCCATTGCCCTCAAGATCACCATTGAGGCCTGAGTCCTGAGCCCCTCTCAAGTGGCCCCAGTCCCAGACACTGTGTCATCCAGTCCCAGTCTCTCCTCCTCCTCCCTTTGGGGGGGTTTCCTCCCACCCTGAGCCTGTCCTCTTCCCCAAAACCTTCCCTGGTGTCCCAAGGTCACTCCCCTCCCCCACGGTTGCCAGAGGATGGGTCCAGAGATGGCATCAATGACAAAGCAGAGGCCCACAGAGGAAAGTGACAGGCCCCTAATAGATCATTTTCAGAGCCACCTTCCCTACTCATCATTTCAGCAGCATCCTGACTTCGGGCTCCCACCTCCCACCCCCCGAAACCACCCACAACCTGACCAGTCCTGCCCCTGCCTCAGGCATGCTCCAGAGGACGTCTGCACCTGGATTTGTCAGAGCCGCCAGCTCGGAGACAAAGTCACGTAGAAACCATGCTGTCCCTCCCCCAGACAGATGTGTATAATCTCTGCTAACATGTCCCTATTGTGTGGCCCAGTCACATTGTGTAATGAACGCCTAAAGATATAAGTGAAAACTGGTTGGTTTCCTCTATCACATAACCTCAGGCAAGACAGAGAAAGAGCTAGAGCTTGCAGGAAAGGCCTAATCCTGCTCGGAGGGTTTTGTTCAGCTGCCGCTGAAAGGACCCAGCCCTAGAAAAGGAAGCCGTGGATCCCAGTAATCCACCTTCCCCTGCTTGTCTGCTTATGTTAGGCCCCTCTTTCCTCCAGGACATTCCAGGTGGTGTTCCACAGTGGTGACTTTGCTCCTCAGAGCTACCTGGAAGGTCGCAGCGGCAGGCCCCAGCAGATGTTCCCATACTCAGAATCAGGGCCAAGGGTGGTGATAGTTCAGCTGGGCAGAGGTGACCATATCAGCATCCTGGCTGTGAGTCTCTCCTCAACAATGGACACACTGTTACTTGTGCCATTGGCAGATGATTCTAGCATGTGCAGGTGCCCTGATGAGGAAGCCAAAGCTGATTCAACCTCCCCCAACCCCATCTTTAGCAAAAACCTTTTAGCCCTGGATTTGCGTTTCTGACATAAGCAGGAAGGAAAATGCATCATATATGGTTCTGTTGCTTTCCTGGCAATGGGGCCTGGTCCCCAGGGTCCCCTGTGGCCAATCTTGATGGGGTTGTACCCTGCTGGGTGCTCAATCCACACTGGGGAGTGCTGAGCTCTGGCGTCCAGCCCTTGCTGGCTGGAAAGGCACACTGGCCAGGGCCAGGGATTCAGGGGTGGGCAGAGCCAGACAGCAGGGCAGAATGTTCTAGAAATGTGGCAACTACCTGCCATAAGCAGGCTGGCAAAAACATCCCCTTTGAGCTTTATCTTCTTTCTTTATCCTCTGGGGCATGTAAAATATAAAAATCTCAGATATATTTGGGCCAGAAAACCACAGACCCGTTGTCCTCATCCTCAGGCCAGGAGTGTCAACCTCTTGGGAGCTCTGCTGCCTACAAGTGTCCTTATCAGTCTTGCCAGACACAGGACAGCCATCTGAATGATGTAGACCTTGGAATCAGGGAGCGTGTCTGTCTGTGCTGCTCACAGGAGCAGACTTAAGCCCTGACGTCAGACAGATCAGTCCCTGAGCTCAGGTGGACTGTGCCCCTCACTGTGGGGATAAAGAGGTACACAGAACCAGCCCTGCCCTCCAGTGGCTTCTAGTCCCCCAAGACATGGAAGCAAAGCTTCTCACTTGTGCCCAGAGAGAGCTGTGGTCCCTTCACTGCCACATTGAGAGAAGATGGCTTGCAAGACAGACCCTCTCCGAAGCGAGAGAGAAAAGGCAGGAACAGGGTTTGCATGGGGTATATCCCAAAAGAGACGGGAAGCCATTCTCCAGAGCAGTGGCAATAGGAACAAGAGGCTCAAGGGACAGCAAATGGAGAAAGTATAGATTAAGACACCATGGGAAGAAAAAACCAAGTTACACATCCAAACTTGAGCCCCACAGAGGACAGAGAAGGGAGCTTTCAGGAGCTGGCCTGCAATCCAGCTGTGTCTCACAGGGGCCACAGATTCAACTTGCCCTGGTGAGGAGCAGGCAAGCATATGTCACATCGTCACCGCCCAAGATGCAACGAAGTCATTGGAATGAAACAACAACAAACTAAATCTCAAGTCCCTTACCCTGCCAGCTCCTATGCACTCACACAGTCCTTCATCAAGCAAACAGGTGCTACCTGATGCCACAGCCCCACCAGGAAAGATACCCACCATGGGGCGCCCTCCGCTGGGGGCCTACAGTAGCCTGGGCCTGGCCCAGGCACCTGCCAAGGTTCTCTGTTATTCCTCCATATCCCTTACAGGCACTCAGCCCCCAGGGCCCATGAGCACCTCAACTCCATGTTCCTTGCCAACCAGGCTCACTCCTGCCCTGGGCCAGCAATGAAGGGAAAGAAAATGCAAACCACAGTCACTGTGTGGGTGACTACTATTTAGAGCTGGTTTGGGGCAACTGAGAGATGGCAGAACACTCCAGGCAGGTGAAAATGGTGGCCATGGGAGGCAGAGGGATGGCAACCTCTAGCCCAGTGGGGTGGTGGGTGGACCCCAATTTCTGGCATGTCAAAGAATGAGGTGTGAAAGACAGAGCTGCTTCTCTTCACAGAAGGATGGGTATGATTCTCATGGAAGGGAGAGAAATCCTTGGCAGTTGGTCATGCTTAGACCCTGGACTAGTGGAAGCCCAAGAGGCCATGGCTGGGCTCCGTGAAGGCGAGAAAGACCATCCCAGACCCACGAGCTTCCCAGGAAGGAGAAAAGTATTTTGCAAAATCACAGCCATGGAAAGCATGGCATTTTGATGCAAAAACCAACAACGTGTTTCCTTACAAGCCAATGAACAGCAAAATAAAGTGAAACCAAAAACGCCCACGCCTGCACAGCATTTCCTTGGAGAACGTTCCAGCTCTCAAGTTACATCCAGGTATAGAGAACAGGTTTGGCTCTGCGGTTGTGTCTGAATGGCCTGGAATTTTAGCCACCAGTAATGACTCCGGCCAAGGTTGCCACAGATGAATAAGCTCTTTCTGCGCCCCTCTCTCAGCGTAGGGGGATCTCCAGTGTCCCTGTGTCCCTCCCTGGCCCATAGCTCCCTGTGGGAATATCTCCCAGCACAGGGCCCGGGTGTATTTACACAGACCCTCCACAAATGCTCATTTCCTAAATCACTTTTCCCGACAGCTCATTTTTAAAAAATATTTCAGAGTATAAATGTCTTAAAACAAAATCCGCCAGGGCACTATTGTCGGCCACTGAGGTTGTGGGCAAAGGGTAGAGACCCATCCTACCTTGTTGTAGTACTGCACCTGCACTGAGTGCCACCGTCCGTCACTCACACCTCCAGGAACCTGTGGCGCCACGGTCGTCGTGGTCTCACCTGCGTGGCAGGAGGAAGATTCAGAGAGAAAAGAGAGGTTAGTGGGACCTGCTGGGGACCATGGATTGTGGACTTCAAGGTCACGGGCCGTCAGGGGGACAGCTGGGTGTGGTTCAGAGACATGGCTGCATCCTCCCCTCCTCACCATGGCACTCAAAGGAGGCACTACCACTCCATCCATTTTCCTTTTCTTTTCTTTTTCTTTCTTTTTTTTTTTTGGAGTTGGAGTCTTACTCTGTTGCCCAGGCTGGAGTGCAGTGGCATGCTCCCAAGCACCACAGCCTCAACCTGCTAGGCTCCGGTGATCCTTCCACCTCAGTCTTCCAAGTAGCTGGAACTATAGGCATGCACTATCATACCCAGTTAATTTTTTGATTTATTGTAGAGACAAGGTCTTGCCAAGTTGCCCAGGCTGTTCTCCAACCCCTGGGCTTAGGCAATCCTTTTGCCTCAGCTTCCCAAAGTGCTGGGATTACAGGCTTGAGTCACTGTGCCTGGCCTTCTTTATTTTTTTTACTGTTTTATTTTTTTGAGTCAGAGTCTCAATCTGTTGCTCAGGCTGGAGTGCAGTGGCATGCTCATGGCCACTACAGTCTCAACCTGCTGGGCTCAGATGGTCCTTCCACCTCAGTTCCCCAAATAGCAGGAATTACAGGTGTGCACCACCATGCCTGGCTAATTTCTTAATTTACTACAGAGATGAAGTCTTGTCAAGTTACCCCTGGGCTCAAGTAATCCTCTTGTCTCTGCCTCCCAAAGCGCTATGATTACAGGTGTGAGCCACCAAGCCTGGCTCCTTTTGGTTTTCTGATTACAAAAGTAATTGTTGTGCATCTTATTAAAATATGAAAAATGCAAAAATGCACAAAGGAGGAAAGCTCATCTGTTAGTCCAAGCAGCAGTCATGTGTACCCTGCAGTGGGGGTCTTTTCCTTTTATGTCGCCTGTATATTACGGCAGCATATAATCATCAAACCCGAGGCAGAGTTCTGTTTTCCCTTTTAGTCACTTAATAATATACTGTAAGTGTTGTTGTCACGTGTTTTTACCAACTTTTTAACCACTCAATATTCCATCCGAAGGCCACAGAAACTTCACTTGTGCATCTCTGCTTTGGGGCATTTGTCATTTCCACCACAGGGGTCCTGCTTTAGTGGGGCTGGACAAGTCCACCTTTAAGTCCGGGGGAACCTAAATCCTGGTTATGTAGCAGTGGGGGATGGGGAAGGGAGGAAGGAGCTTCACGTGCACAAAAGAATGGGGTTGACCAAAACCAGGTCCCCGGCAGGGAATGTCATCCCCAGGAAACCAGTGGGACGTTCCAGAAATTAAGGGGTATGGGTCGGTAGGCCCAAGCCTGGGAGAGTAGCCTAATCCCACTTCACAAAACCTGGTGGCCTGTAGCCACCTCTCCTACTGTGGTCGGCTGATGTTATGGGTGCCCCCCCATTTCTTCAATTCATACAGAAAACCCAACCCTATTCTCTACTATCATAAACATGTGAATCAACAGGGTACAGGGTTCTAGGGATGGAAGCACCCCTGAGCCGTCTTGGTCAACCTTTAGGTAAAAGAGAAGCAGGCACAATTCACTCCTACAAATCATTTGTGCCAGAAAAACACTGATATTCCTGTCAGCAGTGTGAAGAAATGTTCTTTTCCAACAACTGGGATAACAAGTTTAACGGCTTTATCAATATTCTAAGTCTAGAGATACACCATACTCCATTTAACGATTCCTTGATTTTTGAAAATATGAACAAGAACTTCCATATTTTCAGCACCATAAGTAACACTGTAATGAACATCTTCGTGAACTTTGAATTTCTTCCACGGATGGTTTCCTAGACATAGAATTGGGGGTTAAAGGGTAAGCATCTTGGAAGTATTGCACAGGATCAGGGTGGTTGTAACTGACACAACATCTGTGAAGTGTTCAGAGAGCTGCTCCTTACTGCAGAGAAGGCCCAACCTGCAGAGAAGGCCCGACCTGCAGAGAAGGCCTGACCTGTGGAGAAGGCCCGACCTGCGGAGAAGACCTGACCTGCGGAGAAGGCCCTACCTGCAGAGAAGGTGAGCTGCACCTGCTCGTCCACGATCTCCAGGGCAATGAAGTCATGCTTCTCGTTGAAGCGGCCGTTGTAGAGCAGCAGGGCATTTCTTTCTTGGGTGGCAAACCTACGGAGTCAAGCAGAAGTACATCACTCAGTGAAGACCCCAGGGTCAAAGGCTGCCTGGGAGTGACAGGCTCAGCTAGAGGTAGACAAGCACATGGGGTCGCAATTCAGGAAGGACTCTCAGACACTCATCTTTCACATAGGAGCTGACAGCCCATTAAACCTGACTAGCGATGCTCTCTTCCAGAAGCAGCAAACCATATTCTGTGAGGAATTTGGTTACCACAGCCTGTAGAATGTGAAAAGGTTCCATTTGCATATGTGCTAGAAGTATGACACACAGTCGGCACACCAATTACAGATGTGTTTGGATTTGAAGCATGTGCAGCACATCTGCTGCTGCTGGAACTAGATCCCTAAGTTTATGTGCCGGGGCATGGGGACATGGCCCCTTTCCACACTTGCTACAGGGATGTGACTATGGCCCCTCTCAAGAGCTATCCCCTGTGATTCTTACCACCATACTCCAGTCACACTAGTACCTTTTTGCTCCCAAACACTAAGGGTTAAAAAGATATCAGAGCCTTTGCACCTGCTGCTCCCTTGGCCATGAACAATCTTCCTAGGCTCTGCAGACCTCGGGGGTCAATCCAGTCAAGCTGTCTTTAACTCATTTCATCTAAACTGCAACCCCCCATTCTATCAACATCACTCGGTTTATTTCTGAAAGTATCCAGCTAATTTATTTGTTTATAAGATCCTTATGGGGAAGGACTGTGACTCTCACTCACTGCTCTACCCTACAGACCAAAACAGAGTCTAATCTATACCAGTGCTTAGTGATATGCTGAATAAATGTTTGGATGAGCGCATGAATGAATGAACTAATGCATGTATATGAACAGACCTGTCAGAACTTCAAGCATTCAAAGAGCAAAAAACCAAGAGATAATCACATTCTCAGAAATTCTTCTCCATACCCGTGGTCCTGAGGAAACTGGCTCCATTAGACTTGAGGGTCCCTGACAGGAGAGCCTTAGACCACTGAATTGCACAATACCTTCCTGATACCTCTGGTTACAGAGAACTTGCAAACCTGAATGAACTTAGGACTAGTGCCTGAGTTACCCGCACGTCTCTATCAGAGATCAAGTGGCAGAAATTCCTTCTTTTAATTCAAGGCTGGTTTATCCATTTTCATGCAGCAGGAGTTAGTCTGAACCAGCCTCAAGCATCTGACCTCAGCCTTTTTCTTGAGTTGAAGTAAAATCCATAGCTTCCATCTGGACCTTGAATCCTCTCTATTTAGAAGGCCAGCGAGAACACTAAAGAAAAAATATCTGCACAGCAAACCAGAAGCTTCAGGTATGGAGTGAGCAGGGAGAAGGCATCTGAATAAAGATGAGGACCAACTCAACACCAGGCTTGTTTCCCAAGGCTCAGCCCTCTAGGTCACACCTGATTCTCTTTGGTAGGTTTCACTTTTGTATGTTTCTCTTTGGACTCAGGTGAGAGCTGTACTGAGGTCAATGTGAAATGGTCCTGCATGGTGCCCCTACCCCAGGCAAGCACCCATCCACTGCTGGAGATGAAGAAATAAAGAAGGGACCCAAGACCGAGGGGAAGATCAGAACAAATACGAGTAAAAAGAGGAAAGGCCAGAAAACAGAAACCAAGTCTTAGAGAGGGGTCCGAGGAAGAAGGAGGAAAGAACAAAGAGTGGTGGGGGCCTGAAGGGGAGCCTGGAACAGAGCCCAGAGCCCACTTGGGAGCTCAGGCACTTGGCAAACAGAAACTGGAAAGAGGAGAAGGGGCTGCGAAAGAAACCACCTGAAACAAAAGAGTTTGGTTCACGCCCCAGTCCGGTTCTCATGGCATGTCCCTCCGGAGGCACAGGAGGGGCCCAGAGCAGTTTCCAGGGCCCCCGCTCATGGCCACCACAGCCCCCAAAGTGCAGCTCTTCTGTAAGTCTGGGAAGACATTTTATGATTTTGCTTTTAAAATCATTTCCAACAAACCCTCACTGATTTAGCATCGGCACTGATTTTTCAGCCACCATCACGCATAAGGAAATCTTTCATAAATCCTTGTCTGATGTAAGAATCTTACTATATCTGACAAGCAAGTGGGCATAATGTTACCTTATGTGGACATTTAATTAAATATTGTCGGAAGCAGAGAACAGAGTGTACCAGAGGCTGGGAAGGGAAGGGGGGAAGAGAGGTTGGTTAAGGACAGAAGGAATAAGTTCTCACATTCAATAGTATAGAGGAAAATTATAGTTAACAATAGTTTATTGTATATTTCCAAAACCCGAATAAAAAAATTATAATGCTCCCAACACAAAGAAAAGATAAATGTTTGAGGTGATGAATATCCCAAGTGCCCTGATTTGATCACTACACATTGTATACAGATATCAAAATATCACACATACCCCCAAAATATATGCAACTATGATATATCAATAAAAAGTGAATTTAAAAAACATTATTTTTCACTGTCTGTGTCTGGAGTTCACAGACTTCATTTGTTGGCTTCTGGCACATTCGCCAGTCCCCAGACTTCTGGCTACCTTTTAGTCTAACCTCCAGTGGGAATTCCCTCCTGCGGCTTACTAAACTGCCAATGGTCACGGCCGCACATGTGACTGAGAGCTGCCGGCTACACCCTGCTGCGGGCAGTCACAACTACATATGTGCCCAAATCACATGCCCAAAGCTCACACTTGTCACGTGCCACACTGCATCTGCCATAATACACAAGGACCCCTTTTGACTCTAGGACAGGGACCCACAGAAGTCCTCTGTTTCAAACATCAAACATGGGACAGAAAGTGGCTGGGGACCTTCCGGCAGAGTCGTAGTTTGGGAGGCCTGTGTCCACAGGATGGCCTCTGAGAAGAGAACAATGCCTGGGGCTGGCCATATTGGCCAGACTATGCTGAGGGTGGCACCTATCATCTTATAAGAGGGATGGAGGGGTGAGCAGAGGGCAGGACAGTAACTACCAACTATCAGACACTATCACCATGCTTTCCAAACTCTCACAGGAAGCCCCTGGGAGGCACAGAGAGGGAATGCCACTTGTCCATGGTCACAAGGTCAGAGAGGTGGTGCCATGGTCCATGGGATACAACAAAATGAGCAAATCCTCAACAGCAGGCCTCCAAATTAACAAACACTCGACAGGAAGGCCCAGAGAGCCGAGCTGAGTGGAGCCAGCATCTCCTGCCTGCCTCCTTTCCTAGAAAGGGGCCTGCTCCAAGGATGAGAAATAAAGCAAGAGTGTCGTGCCAGGCATGCATACGAGTTCAACTAACGGCAGCCAGTCTTAGGATTTTATTAAAGGTGGACTCAAGCCAGGTATAGTGGCTCACGCCTGTCATCCTAGCACTTTGGTAGGCTAAGGAGAGAGGATTGCCAGGAGTTCAAGACCAGCCCAGGCAACATCCCATCTCTACAATAAATTAGACAACATCCCATCTCTACAAAAAATTAGCTGAGTATGATGGTGCCTGCCTATAGTCCCAGCTACTTGGAAGGCTGAGGTGGAAGGATCATCTGAGTCCAGGAGGTCCAGGCTGCAGTGAGCCATGATCATGCTACTGTACTCCAGTCTGGGCAACAGAGTGAGACTCCAACTCAAAAAAAAATAAAATAAAAGTGAAATTCAGGAAGACGAACAGACCACGAAAAATGCCTACATACTGGAAAAAGTCAGCCAGAGCGGGTACGCTTATATGGCAGGGGCACTGAGAACACAAACTTCAGGCAAACTATCCAGGCAAGATCCTTCTTGCCAGCCTTGTGGCCTGGACAAGTTCTGCAAGTTCTCTGTGCCTCTGTTTCCTCACCTGTAAGAGGGGGACAACAGCAGCACCCACCTGCAATACTTCTGAGGGAAGGGTTCAGACTCATGTATTGCCACAGTGCCCAGCACAGAAGCTCACTCACTGCCACCTTTGTTGTCCACACTGACCCCTGTGAGGAACACAGCAGGCCCAGGAGGTATTTCACTTGGGACCAGTCTAACAGGAAGCCATCAGTACTTGATGCTGACGCTCAACACAGATTCACCGTGAGGCTGGAGTGGGGCAGGGTGGCAGGTCCAGGTGCTGCCAAGGCACAAGGATCTACCTGCCTCTGTGGAGCTCCCAGCAGATGCTCTAATCCTGCCAGAATACCCTGAAGATTCACCCTCTGCAACTCAACCCCTCTCTATCCCCCATCAAACCAAGGAGTCTTTCCCCCAGGAGAGCCAGAGACTTCCACTGACATCTCGGGAGCCACAGCCTCATCTCAGCAGAGTGAGCACTCGTTCCTTGTTGCCACGGAACTACTCAGTGGCTACCTGCTAACTTCTGGGTGCCTAGAGGGTACCAGGATACAGGATGAGAAACCCCAGAGAAGCTTCAGGTCAGTGGATGGGCAGAAGCACTGACACAAAAGCACTGACAAAACCTGGACCTCTCATGGTGACAATGACAGGCACAGTTGTCCATGAGCTTAAAACAGGAAACAGGAGTCGGGGATCCCAGGTGATTATTTAAAGGTTTCAAAAATATATCTGTTTTGGAGACTTTAGCACAAATAATCTGACAACCAAGAACAAAAACAGGATTAGGGATTCTGGCATGAGTTCATCGCCCCTAAAAGCAATAAGTTTGTGTCAGGACTAGATTAGAGGTAGAAGATTTGAGCCATTACGTGGAAAACCCACCAATGATTCAAGCCACACTAGTTAACTCCATGCCCGTCTGAGCCTTTGCAGGGCAACCAGGGCCTATAATTAGTCTAGAAAGCAGCAGACAAGCAGGCAGTGATCAGATCATGCTGCCAGTAATAGAATGCGGTATCCCTAGCCTGGGTCAGGGAAGGCTTCCTGAAGGAAGCAGGTAGAGTCAGATGGCCAGACAGGGGGAGGCAAGACAGGAAATGTCCTGAGGCTGAGGGCAGGTCCATGGGCAAAGAATGACGAGGAGGTCAGGGCGGCCACATTACAAGGTCTGAGATGCAGGAAATGGGAAGGGTCAGCAGGGGTCGAGCTGTAGAAGGTTCTGGCCCTGTCAAGAAGCTTGTGTTTTCCTAGGCAGTGGGCAGCCCCAGCAGGACAGTCAACAGAGCTCAACCTGACCCAGGCTGAGAACAGGCAACTGGGGTGGTCACATAGGTGTCATGCAGGTGAGAGGCAACAGTGGCCAGGGCAAAGGTGGTGGGGACTAGGACAGATGTGCGAGGCCCAAAGTGAGGAACTCTCAGGACACGACTGAGAAAGTAAGGGGCAAGGAGAGGTCAGGGAGGGTACCCCTCCTGCCTCGAATCACTCCCCATATAGGGCCTGGGTAGCAGGGACAAGCAGTGATGGGGTCCCTCTTGGACCTGTTGAGTGAGGGGAAACCAACACAGAGATAGCTGTGAGCCGAATCATGTGCAATTTAAATGTCCCCAAGGAACTGGTTTTCATGGTTTTCTGGGGGCACAGCTGTGCAGACAACACTAGGATGCTGGGTGAGTGGTGTGTCCCCAGCCCCGTCTCTGAGCTCTGCATCACCAAGGGCTTCCCTCCTCCTCTGTCCTGACATCAAGGAGCCCTCCTGCTAGACTTTAAGGCCCCTAAGGATCGGACTCATCTCTGACTGGCCTCCACTACCCAGAGCATGTTCCACACACACGTGCTGGACCACACCAAGTACATAGCACTCAATGTCACCCCACACACACACCATGTGGGCTTCAGCTCCTAGCTTTGCTCATGGCTCCTGTCCTGCCTGGTCTTCCCATGTGCATGCTCATATTTTCAGTCTGGAATTTCCACTTAAGTCAGACAGTCCCCGCTCCTGGTTCTGCTGGATTTAAGGGATTGTATCCTGGACACTTAACTGGTGTTCCTGAAGCCCAAGACCATGCCCTACTCACAGACTGCTCTCAGGCGTGGCCCACACCTGTTGGTAGTAGTACGCCCCTCCATGGGAGAGGAGCCCACCCTGTCCAGTCCTGAGACTCCCCAAGGCAGCTCAGGGGAGAAGCCAGGTTCTGGACTCAGAGGAAGATGTAGAATACATCCTACTTGAAGACTGCACTCCCCTGAGAGACCCCCGAAACACTGGCACAAAACCACCAAGTACAGAACACATCTTGGTATGCTAAGTTAAACCCAATAGAAATCTTTAAAATAGAAATGATGGATTTTTAAAAATTTAATCAAACCAAAATTCTCTTGTGGAAAAAAGGGTGCAAAAATAAAATACTAAGCACTGTGCACACTAAGCCTGTCCCTCATGCTACAGATGCAGAAAGCAGGGTGGGCAGGGCTCAGGCGGCCCTCAGTGACACACTCGTTCAAGCCCTGACTCCTGGGTCCCTGGATTCTTTACCATCCACCTCCAGTCACCTGGATGTCAGAGATGCCCACAACTTGACAAGGAGAAGCACCAGAATGGCCAGGCCAGCTTCCTGGGTGTGTGGTCCCTGCTGTCCCCTAGGGTACTCAGAAGGGGCCCTTGCTTACCTTAGTGTTCTGCTATCTCTGTCTTGAAATTCCTTTTTTTTTTTGAGATAGAGTTTTACTTGCCACCCCAGGCTGGAGTGCAGTGGCATGATCACAGCTCACTGAGGCTTCAAACTCCTGGGCTCAAGCCATCCTCCTGCCTCAGCCTGCTGAGTAGCTGTGACTACAGGTACATGTCACCAAGCCCAACTAATTTTGTTTTTATTTTTGTAGAGGTGAGGTCTTATTATATAGCCCAGGCTGGTCTCAAATTCCTAGTCTCAAGAGATCCTCCCACCCTGGCCTCCCAAAAAGCTAGGATTACAGATGCACGCCTCCACACCCAGCTAATTTTTTTTTTTTTTGGTACAGGTGAGGTCTTGCTATGTTGCACAGGTTGGTCTCAAACTTCTGGCCTCAAGCAACCCTCCCATCTTGGCCTCCCCAAATGCTAGAATTACAGGCACGAGTCACCACACCCAGCTATCTTGAAATTCTGAATCATATTAGAACAAGGGGCACCACCTTTTCAATCTGCATGAGGTCCCACAAATTGTGTAGCTAGTCCTACAGCCAGCACTGATCAGAGCTACTCAACTGTCAAAGGTCACCACAGATGACACTTACACTGTTACCTAGAAGGATGAAATGCACAAAGATACAACACCTGTGTGGACATGGCAGGACGCACACTCACGTGAGGGAGATGGTAAAGTGAAAGCGCTGTCTCAGGCCTCGGAAGGTGACGAAGGACTGGGGTGGGAAGCTCCTGGTGGTGACCTCGCAGTAGGGCCTCTCAAACTCGCCAGGAGGACACACGCAGTGAAAGCCACCGATGAGCAGATTCACGCAGGTGCCCCCGTTCTTGCACACCCCGTTGGCACAGCGGCCCGAGCGGGCATTCACCTCACAGTGCTCTCCTGGGGGGAAAGGAGAAGAGGTAAAAGAGGAGGTTATGGAGCGGCTGAGGAAGAGCCAACAGGCCTGTCGTAGACCGTGGACACACGAGCCACACGACTCTGGATCAGAGGTCCATGAAGCGAATGTAAACTCTCCAGCTTCTGAAGCCTTTCTAGGGACCATCCCAGAGACAGCTGCAGTTACACGTGTATTGGTTCCCTTGTTGGAACGACAGCACCCAGCTCCTGGTAGACGATCCAAGGATGGAGGTCAGGGAGCTCCATAGAACATGTCAGGTGATGGAGTTCCAGGCCTGCTGCGTTCCCTGTGGAACAATGAGTTATAGCAATGAACCCTTCTCAGCATCCAATTCCTTCTGAATGCTGGGTGGGCTGAGTTGGACTCTTCCAAGGGTAACACCTAGAATCAGACAAGAGGGCCTCATGTCCTCCCTATACCTGTGTGATGGCGGGGCATATCAGAGCCTTGTCCAGGACTCGGAGCATGCCGCCATCGCATTGGGCCTGAGAGCCACCTTCTCAGCAGGCTTCCTGTCCTGTTGGCCATCCCTGCTGCCTCTTACACAGACCCTGTGCACTGTCTGGCTAACTGAGTTCCAGCTCGCTTTTAACCTTGTCTGCAGGCAACACATGCTCTGATGTCCTCCTCAGAACTTAATCCCTCCTGTAACAGGAAGGTTCTGGAAGCCTTTCCAGAGAGACTGACCGGGAAGGCCACAGCTGTCTACCTCTTTCCCACCCCCCTGCAGACCAGGAGTGCTCAGAAATTCATCTGCTGGGAGCCTCCCAGTGCTCACAACAGGGAGACCACACTCAGCACCAGCTGTTTCTGGACTGACTGCTGCCATCAGCTGGCAGTGGTTTGGATGGATGATGCTCACACTCCAGATGCAGATGATTGCCCCCAACCCGCATGGCCCTGTGCCTGCCGCCTCTGCCATGCAAGGTAGATGTTGTTGGCCAGAGACTCCTCACACACAGTCAGAAAATTTCCCCACGACATTTTTCCCAGTTACAGATTTTTAAATGAACATATTTTAAAATAGAAGCATTACATCCACATACTTAAAAAACAAACTACAATGTGAAAAGCATGGTGTGTAGAGTCAAAAATCTTCAGCAGTTACTAGTGATCTCCACAGAAAAAGATCACATGAGGTTAGGTACAGTGGCTCACACCTATAGCCCCACCACTTTGGGAGGCCAAGGCAGGAGGATTGCTTGAACTCAGGAGTTTCAGACTAGCCTGTGCAACATAGTAAGACCTCTTCTCTACCAAAAAAAAAAAAAAAAAAAAATCAAAAAATTAGCTGGCATGGTATTGTATGCCTGTCACCCCAGCTACTTGTGGGGCTGAAGCAGAAGGAGGTCAAGGCCATGGTGAGCCATGAGTATGCCACTGCAATCCAGCCTAGGTTACAGTTAAGAGTCCGACTCAAAAAAAGAAGGAAAAAAAAAGATCACATGAGTTGGATGCCCTCCACACACCAAACATCTGTTGGCACATAGAGTTCTATCTCTTCTTTTTAAAGGCTGTATAGTATTCTATTAGAGGTCTATGTCCAAACTTAAATCACTCACCTCCTACTGAAGGACACATGAGCTGTTTATAGTTTTTTTTTTTTTTATGGTAAATGAGCTTTCAATAAACATCTTTGTATATAAACCTTGGTGAGTTTTAAGACTCTCTTTCTTTAGAGAAACCCCCTCACAGTGCTGACTTAAAGGATATAGACACAATTGACATTTCTTTTCTCTCTCTCCCCCTATCTTTTTTTGAGTCAGGGTCTCACTCTGCTGCCCAGGCTAGAGTGCAGTGCCTCACCACAGCCTTGACCTCCTGGGACTATAGGCGTGTGCCACCATACCTAATTTTTTGACTTTTTGTAGAGACACAGTCTCACTGTGTTGCCCAGGTCTTGAACTCCTGGGCTCAAGCAATCCTCCTGCCTCTGCTGTATGACAGAGAGAGCTCTGGTCTCTCTTCCTCTTTATAAGGACTCTAATTCCATCATGGGAGCCCCACCCTCCTGACCTCAACTAACCTTAATTACTTTCTAAAAGCCCCACCAAATCAGTCACATTGGGAGTTAGCGTTTCAACATGAGAATTTTGGAGGACACAATTCAGTCCATAGCAGACACGTATGAGGCAACTGTGAATTTGATAAAACTGGAGAGTGAACATTAAACTTCATCATCAATTTTTAAAAATAAAAAAGAAACAAGTCAGATGCTGTTGAGGGTGGATACTGTGTACCCCTCGCAGTCCCCTCCAGAACTGAGGCTCTAGGGTGTGGGCTGTTGATAGCTCACAGCTGAGACCTTGACTCTGTTGCCCTGTCATCCCACCAATAGCCCTCCATCTGAGAAGCTACATCATCCAGTGACTCGTCAGCGTGAAGACACAGTGACCATCAGCCGGCCCATCCTAGCTCCAGAGCGCACTGCAGCTTGACCTCCCCTCTGCCCTCACTGCATCGCAACCCAGCCTCCCTTCTGCGCAGGCCAGGGTCCCTCCACTGCTCCCAGGTGTGGCTCCTGAGAAGGCTGTTCCACTACCTGCTGCATCCTGAACTGGGGCCTCCGAGTCTTTCTCAGGGAGGCCAATCTCAGACGGATGCCGATTTGAGTGAGTGCAATAATTAATTAGCTTTAGGAAATCCTTTCAATCATCCAAGGGAATGCTTCAAATGAGCTTTTTAGATGAACAGCTGAAACAGATTTGTAATTAGCATAACAATCATCAGAAACTAACGGAGCTTCTGAAAGCCCCCTCGTTCTCCCTCTACTTTCCCCAGGCACCTTCCAGTCTTCATTACCAGGCTGCAACTCCTAAGGATGCCTAACTGGCCAAGCCAAGGTGACTCCAGCCTGTACGCTGTCAAAAGCAAGGAGGAGCGCTGAAGTCATTGACCTTTTGCTGAACTTCATGGGCATGGACAGGGTCCCCACACCAGTAACTCCAAGGGCTGCAGGTGCCGAGAGCTGGCCCCCAGGTCAGGGCCAGGAGGAGGCCAGGTGGGAGCTTTCTCCTCCCCCAGCAGGCAGGGCAAGACCACACACACCTGTTCTGCACTGGCAGTGGCTGTCCTTTCCCCCCGCTTCCCCGTAGGGAAAAGGGAACAGGCTTCCCATCCCTTTGAGAGTTAAAGGAAAAGGAGAGTAGCCCATGGAGCAGCCTCAGACCCTCAACTCAGCTCCCCTGACTCACCACCCAAGGGAGCTGGCTAACCTACCCCTGCTGCTACAGGGGTCTCCACTACCCTGCAGGTGGAGTGGACTGTGTGCACACACTCACAAGCACACAAATACTTGCACAATGCTCATACCCTACCACATGCACTCATTCACATATGTACACTCATTCAGAACTTCATACATACACTTACATTCCCACACACATACCTGTTTGCACACTCATACATGTGCTCACACATTCTCTCACACCCTCAGCCACACACACGTGCATATTTGAACACATGCTCACACGGGTGTCAATGCTCTGGGCCTCCCCTCCAGGTGGGCGGCCTGCAACCTTAATAATCTCTGCGCATTAATGTGAGGGGTGCAGCTTAAGGTGTATTTCTCCTCCTCCAGACATTTCAACTTATCTCTTTTCTACTTTAAAAAATATGTGGCATTTGGGAGTGTTTGCTTTCCAGAGTTCCAGCCAGTGGCCAAGTACAGCACATTCTGGAATAACAAAGCAGCCACCGAGAGAGGCGGGGTATGCTCACCAAACCATGACTGCAAACAAAGAGGGGCCGGCTGGGCCCTGCCCTGCCATGCCCTGCCCTGCCCTTCCCACAGCCTCCTCTGCCTGTTCCAGAATCCTGAGAACCTAGGCTAGGTGCGGATGTTCCAGCCTTCCCTTAGGAAAGCGAAGTCCCTCACCCACCCCACTGCATCACAGTCCTGCCTTCCCCTCAGAACTTGCACTCCTCAGACCCCACCTCAAGTCTAAGAGTTTCTCCCAAAGGCTCAGAGAAAGGAAGAGCCGATCCGAGTGAAGACAGCTCTTTGTCCACAACTGCAGGTTTGAATTTGAATTTGCAGCCTGACATTCCTGCTTCCAAATTCAGTTTTCATTGGCTACAGGGCCCCGCAGGCCTCAGGGTGCCCCCTGAAAGGGAGGACAGCAGAAATGGACTCATCCGCCTCCTTATATGGGAGGCACGTGTACAAGGACTCTTGGTAGATCAATGTGTGGCTTTTAAAGCCCCTGGTGTCCCATAAGGAAGGCACGAAGAATACAAGCCAATCGGGTAGACTTCTGTCCTCTGCTTACAAGGCCTTGCTATTTTAAGTAGGTTGCAAATAAAGTTAAGTCTCCATGAAGTTGTTGGTTTATTATTTGCAGTTGTGTTTTCTTTGCTTTTTGTTTTCATTTCCAGTAGGTAGCTGTGTGAGTTTCCTAGGGCTGCCATAATAGATAACCATAAACTAGTGGCTTAAAACAACAGATTTATTCTCTCACAGTTCTGGAGGTCAGAAGTCAGAAATCCAAGTGTTGGCAGGGTCACGTTTCCTCTGGAGGCTCTAGGGGAGGATCCTTCTGGCTTCTTCTACTTCTGGTGGCTCTCAGCTTTCCTTGGCTTATGGTTGTATCATTAAAGTCTCTGCCTCCATTCTCACATGACTGTCTTCCCTCTATGTGTCTGATCTCCTCTTTTCTCTTATGGGAACACCAGTCATTAGATTTAAGGTCTGCCCTAAGCCTGGGATGATTTCATCTCCAGTGCCTGAACTAACTACCTCTGGAAAGACCCTATTTCCAAATGAAGTCACATTCTGAAGTCCTGTGTGAACATGAATTGTGGGGGCCACCCTTTAATCCACTACAGGGGCCCTCTGTGTGTGTCCTAGAATTAGAATCGTGCTACATTTTGGCCTCTGCAAACACTGTGCTCCAAGACCAGCAGTGCCTGGTCCCACTGAGCTCTTCCTTCAGATGTCTCTTCCCCACATGCCTCTCTGGGACCCGGTTCCCCTGAAACC